TATCTTCAGATTGAAAGGGAACCACTGTTATAATACAATGTACTTTGAGTAGCTTGGAACTCAGGTACTTTCCAGGACAAAAAGATCATGGTGACTCATGTCTCCATGAGGACACTAAGAAGGCATGAACTGGTAACCCCTCAGATGCTTACACTTGGTGACACTGGCTCATCTATGACATATGGAAAGGAATCTATAACATCATTATTATTATTATTATTTGTAATTTGATGAACAAAAAATTTGGTATGGTAAATGTCACATATGTATAATGTATTTCCTTTTCTTGGTTGTTCTGTTACCATATTGTACTGGATATGAAGTGTATATCTTTATAGGTGTCCACTTATGTGAGTCTGATCTGATAACAGTACCAGGGAAATTGTTCCTGAACATGGCTATGCAACTGAGTCTGAGGAAAAGTCCAGCATTCAGTTAAAATCTTATCAGTAAGAATCACAAGATTTGCAGTTTGAGGCAGAAACATTATGATTCAGCAGATTCCACAGCATCTGTCCATCAAGGAAACACCTGGTATGCACGAAATAATGACCATGGTCTTGGGGAGGTTTTTGTTTCATGTTGAACCACTGAGGGACACACATTACCATACTGATGACACTGATAAACTACAATATCTTCAGGCTCCAAGCTGCTTATGGTGAGAGTAAAGTCTGTTCCTCTCCCACTGCCACTGAACTGGGCTGGGATGGCAGTGGACCTCGTGGATGGATCATAGATAAGAAGTTTAGGAGCCTTCCCAGGGTTCTGCTGGTACCAGGCTAAACTGCTGCCAATGATTTGACTGGCCCTGAAGGTGAGGGTGGCTGTTTCTCCTGGAGAAAATGCCAGGGAGGCTGGAGACTGGGTCAACAGGGCTTCTCCAGAGGAATCTAAGATTGAAAAATAAAATAGAAATGTCACCCATGTAATCTAGATCATGCCAATTGTCTTCTCATTGATCTGCATTGAACTTTAATTACTGTGCTTATTGAATACAGTCACTAGTACATAGGAGCCAACTTTGAGAGTTTTCAGATAGTAAAAAACACCCCATATGGCTCTTACCTGGGACCCAGAGTAACAGGAGACAGAGAAATCTAGCCAGGGCTTCCACAGTTCACTCTAGGTCCTCCCTGGTACAGATATTCCTCAGAGCTCTGGCTCAGGCCTTGATATGGGCTCTGAACATCAGTGGGTGTTGGGAGAAGGATGCAAAGCAGCAGAGGCCAGATGAGCTAAGCTTGCAGCTGCAGAAATGCTGGCCTGTTCTTGTCCACACTTGAGCAAGCCATGTCCAGGTGGTTAGGTCAGAAGGCCCTTGGCTCAGCCTGAGCCAGCATTTCTCCTCTGTGATCACAGAACTTGATCCTGGTGTCTTTCTGTTTTACCAAACCTCTAGAGTCTGGCAGATGGTGTTCAGTACAAACCTATAAGAAATAAGACAGAAGCCTATGGGGACATTTCTTCTCTCCACCTCTAATGTGACTAATTAGCTCCCTAGGTGCTTGACTGTGTCTGGTTGAGATAAATCTTTGTATGAGATTTGTCTTCCAGACATTCTTTTCCTTTGCCACTTTGCAATCTTTCCCAAGGTCCCTAATGTTGCTTTACCCTTGTAAGAATTTGTAAAGGGCAACTTTTAATTAGGCTCAGGAATAATGGGTCAGTGGACAGCCACAGCTGCACAGATGAGCAGCACTGGGCCTCTCTTTCTTCATCATACTGATACCATTTCACTGAAATCAGGAATAGAACTTTCTATGCTGGCAAAATCTATTCTTTGGGTAATTCTCCATACCATTCTGTTACAATGCATCAATCAACCCAATCTCTGGCCCTTTCACCTTAATGATCTTGGAAAATTCTGTTTAAAGTCCTCATAAAGTCTCTAAAAACATCATGTTCACCAATAAATTGTTGAGTATTTTATCCTTCAGAATGGAAAAATAAAGGATGTCCACTTTTATCACTTTTATTAAAAATTACATTGAAGGTGCTAGGAAATACACTAAGACAAGACAAAGTAATAAAATCCACAAGCTTTGAAAGAGAAAAGGATATCTTCACATACTTATAACAAATTTTTTACGTAAATTCCTAAAGACAGTACCAAAAATTACTAGAATAATAATTTCATAAAGTCTCTGGGTTCACTGTCAATACAATCACTATGTCTCATACATTAAAGAACATATAGGTAAATAGAGACTTTTACATGTACATCAAGTAGAAAACTTGATATTACTAAGGTTCAATTTTTTCAAAAGACATATATATATATATATATACACACACAAATGTATTTCGTGTAATTAAATCCAATTGATCTACAAATGGTTTTTTTAAATTGATGAGCAGATTCTAGAATATACAAGAAAATTAAAAGGACCTAGGACATCCACAAATTTTTCATGAAGAAAAATAGAGTATGTATGAAACTATGTTTTAAGACATTATAGGAAGTTGGATATAGCTCAGTAGTTGAGCACTTCTTAGCATGCAGAAGATCCTGGGTTTAATCTCCAGTGCCAGAGCCCACAATATTGATTATGCCTAAAATCTGCAGTAAGCATTGCAGGCTGCAAAGAGTTAAATCTCTCAATTGGCTTACTTTAAGAAGCGAGTCTGACTGAAGCTATGTGACTCACAGAAGTATCTCATGAGCACTGCGGTAGTACGCAGACCAATGTGACCTCCCCACTACTGGCCATGGTTGAGACCAGAGTCATGGCCTATGAAGCTGAGGGGCTAATACAAGATACCACGTGTTGCTG